TTTCGCCCTATTTTTGTCTTTGTTTCTTGTTGCTAGTAGCGATGCAGCTACTAGTGATTGCTATGATGAAACCTCCCCATGTTGCTGAAACCCTTCATTTCCCTACGGTTTCCAGCAAAACTTGGCTGCCCGAACTCGAGCATCTTTGGCCAAGCTGTCAGCATGGATGAAGGGAGCCCTGGTTTTCACGGTCACACTCAGAAAGAGCTGCTACAAAGAGCTCTCCTTCACGTGATATTCAATGCTCTTCTTCTAAAACATGAAGTTCAAAACATGGTTCTCCAAAGGCCAAACATCAATCTTCTTCTTCTGTCCAGAAACCATTGAGGCCAACACCAGCCGCCATAGGTGTCATACTGCCAATGTGCTGGCTTGTCATTCGGCGTATCGAAAATACCCCTCAGCAGCGAACTCCACAGCACCGCCATTAGGAACAAGAGCACGCTACTAGGAACAAAGGGCATCGCTACTAGGAACAAGGACGCTACTAGGGGCTCCTGGCCATACTACTAGAAACAAGAAGCCATTAGAAACAAGAAATAAATAGAATTAAACGCAATTAGAATTAGAATCAGCATATAAATTAGAATTAGGCTTTAATTAGAATTGAATTAGAATTAGTAGCAAAGAAAGCTACTAGGAGCGCGCGCAGGGGGTGGGTAGGAACAAGGACGCTACTAGGAAGAAAGGGTATCGCTACTGGGAACTAGAAACTACTAGGGGCTCCTGGCCTTACTACTAGGAGCAAGGACGCTACTACTCACTACTCTGTCTTTTCTTCACAATTTATGAAGCTCATCCCAGGGACTGAAGGTCACATAGTCCTTCAAACCTTTTCTTCCCAGTTTTCTTTCTTTTTCTTTAGACCTTTAGACGGTCTCGTTGTCTTTAGTTGTTTCCTCAAGAGTGCAGTCTACCAAGAAGGCTATTGAATCCCTAGACGTCTTCTGCGTCAGAGATCGCACCTGAGGGTGCGACATGAGCATGTCATTCTTTGTGAAGGTATTAGATGCTTCCCTTGGTGAATCGAAAACCAAATCGATCTGAAAATCCTCGATCCAGTGCCGATCAATCCACTCCTTAAAAAGGAGGAAGTTGAGTAAAACATGGCCGCCTGGAAGGGCCTATTCCGCCTATTCCTCTTCAATCTGCTCCCTCCGCCGACAGGTCAGACCTGTTGGGGAACCCTTAGAACGGCCAAAGAAAGTGAGCGAACAAAAGCTTCCGCTTGCGGCGCAGTCTGCTCGCGTCCATGCTGACGCTCCAATAAACACGGCTAGAACTCCTGTCAACAGACTTTAAGGAACCTACGAGTACTAGAGATGGCCTCCAACCTAACATCCTTCAAAACACATCCTCCTTCTCGAATTGCCTGAGAGATTCAACCTTGATAACAAAGGATAACGAGGGACAACGAAGGACAAAGGGGAGGAACGGGAACAATTATTTTGTGGAAATACTCTCTACTGTGGTTTGAGCAGACCATTGGCCTTTTGCTATGATTGAGTCAAAAGAGACGATTCTGCACCTGATAGCAATGGCGTCCAACCTACTAGCGATGGCATGCAAACACGCAAATGCATTATCCAATCGCAAAGCCGACACCAAAACAGCAGACTCTAACAGCCGACTTATGCAAGGCGGCGTTCCCATTTTCTTGCGACAAGAACTGTTAACACCAGCGCACAAAGGTATGGCATTGCCGTGCTGGTCGGAGGTCGGAACTGTTGTTCCCGAAAGTGGCAGCTCACCCAATGTCCATGTATTGCCGCGTTGGCAAGCAAACTCGTCATCTATGTTGACTTGCCTGAAACTCAGGTTCTTGCCTGCCAACTCAGCCAGAATCTATCCTGATTGATTTTCTAAACAATATTATCGACATTGTCCAAAGCTAACATTCCTGACTACGGGCTTCATCGTTCGTTGAGGAAAAGCGCAAACCCTGTGAGGCCCTCGGATCCGGAATGCGGATTTTGGCCTAGGAAAAAGGGGTCTAATTGGTCCAAAGACAGGTCGGTCTAACCTTTGACGTTTGAAGGTCTGAAGAAGACAGAAAGAAAAGAGTTGGGGAAACATGAAAAAGAATCACAAAAATGGCTGACAAAGGTCGGCACTTACGTTTGTTTGGTTTGTGTTCGAGTTAGGAACCAAAGGCGCAACGGAGAAGGAAGTGAAGTCCCCTTTTCACCTGAGGAATGCGGTCTCTGGGCTTTCAGGCATCAATAGCCCCGGCCGAGGTCGCTCGAAGTACTCCATCGGTTCTGGGTAATTCCATGGTGGCCTGAGGAAAGAGGATGGTGGCTGTTGAACGACCAACTCCAAAGTAAAGAACTTATGTTTCTCGCACAGCTCCTGGCATCGCTACTAGGGGCTCCTGGCATCGCTACTAGGAACAAGAAGCTAAGAAGCTACTAGGGGCTCCTGGCCATACTACTAGGAGCAAGGACGCTAGTAGGGGCTCCCGGCACTTCAGGATTCCCCCAAAAATGCCAACTGAGAGATCTAATCCGGATGAAACGACAACTGTGGATCATGCCGGGGCCAAAACTTCGTTGTAAGTCCATTGCCGAATCTAGTAACAAGGGCATCACTACTAGTAGTAACACAGGGCATCGCTACGAGCAAGGACGCTACGAACGTAGCTCCTGGCCTTACTACTAGTACTTCGGAAAGAAAGAACACCTTGGCTTAGCTTCTCAGCTTCTCCCTCGCACAACGAAGCACCGAGGAGCTTTTCAGCTTGCAGGCTAACTGCATCTTCCGCGTGGCGATGCGCTTGGCCTCAATGTCGGGACTTATTAGCTTCGATGCCACAAACAAGCGTTAAACTTGAAGTGTATGATATAAGTAAAGAATACTAAAGAAATGAAAGGATGTGACCTTGACTTCTGCAAGTTGTTGAGGGGCGCAACGCAAACGTACGCTAGGCCGCATGAGACCATTTCTTGGGCTTTTGTGTGTGTGCAAAACAAAGCTCCACAGAAGAGCTCTCAAGACTTGCAGTGTTTGTGCGACTCGTGAACGGCCGCGAAAGGTCTTTGAGGTTATTACCCGCTGCCCTTTGACATGTCTTGTTTCTTTGTTGACCTTTTTGACGCGTCGCTTCTTTCTTCCTTTTCTCGTTGCCAATTGAACAGCTTGCCAAATAACATCAACTTTTGATGACCATGGAACCTGCCAGGCGACCTCAGGAAGCCAAAGACATGTACTGAGCCCCTCACGTGCCCGAAGGAGGGCCACTTCAGTCTCTAGCCTAGCAGAGATCTCAGAGATCTCGCGAGTTTGGAACAAGAAGCTACTAGGGGCTCCTGGCATCGCTACTAGGAGCAAGGACGCTACTAGGGGCTCCTGGCCTTACTACTAGGAACAAGGACGCTACTAGTAGCAAGAAGCTAGTAGGTTGGAGGCCATCGCTTCTAGGGAGGAGTGCTTGCCTTGCAGGCCTTGCATGCCTTACCGGTGTTATGCAGAACTGCGACTGCAAACAAATGGCCTCCGCTTGTAATTTTGTTTTCTCTGCTCGACCTGATCGTCCAAGTCGTGCCTGGCCGGAGTCATCTTAGTTTGGTGAAGATGAAAAACAATGGCAATGCACTTGTTAGTAGCAATGCCCTTTGCCCCTAGTAGCGTCCTTGCTCCTAGTAGTTAGTAAGGCAAGGAGCCCCTAGTAGCTTCTTGCTGTTTGGCTTGTCTTTTCTTATTTCTTACCCATGTTGATGTGAGAAATGGGAGCTTGTCAGTAGAAGGGGTAAAAATGGGTGGTTTCTACGGACGCGTTGTGTGTCCCAGACCTAAGGTCTTAGCACTCTTGTCAGTTCACGACAACACACAAAGATAGAGGCAATGGCTAAAGGATGGAAACACAAGGATGTCACAAACTCTCCCACAGTGTCCGTCCGACTATGTCTTTAGACTTTAGCTTCTTGTTCCTAGTAGAATGCTATTAGTAGTAATGCCCTTTGTTACTAGAAGCGATGCCCTTGCTCCTAGTAGCTTCTTGTTCCTAAAGAAAAAGAAGATTCGATAAATTCGATAGATTTCAATTGACCAAATACTTATGCCATGTCCGACCAAGCTCCGAGCATGAGCTTGAGCCAGTCTTCCCGATACTGGGTTCGATCTTCAATGGCCTGAGTTGAACGCTGACGACTTGGCCAACAGCGGGACTCTTTGGGTGGACACTTTAAGAAACTTTTGTTTGGCCGCGCTAGGGGGGGTTAGGCCGTGGTAGGGTAGCTAGTAGAGACTGGTAGCTACTACCTTACTGAAGCTACTAGCATGGATGCAGGATAGCGCTCGCACTAATGATTTGGTTCCTAGATGTTTAGGGAAACTTAAAGGAAACTTTAAGGAACCTAATGATAGCTTCCAACCTACTAGCGATGGCCTCTAACCTACTAGCGATGGCCTCCATCCATGCGATTCTGTCGTTTGAAAAAGAACATGTAGCACAATGGCTTGAGAATGGTCTACGCCAGCCAGTTTCACCATATTTCTCACCATTTCTGCATGTCCTTGTCAAGTTGTTGGTACGTCTATTTTGTCTCCAAACGGACAGAATAATGACAACAGAAAGTTCAAAGGAACACATCTTCTTTTTTTCGGTTCTACTGCAATGTTCTCCTGCTCTGCCCAGCCTCATGCTGATAGAACTCCTTCCGCAAGTCAGGCTCACTCAAGACCTCGCAGCTTAACGCCGCCAAGCGCATTTGGTAGTGCGCAGGCGACCAAGAATGCACTTAGACAGCGACTCGTTTGATCACATTCGCGCAGAACAAAAAGGACTGTACTTCATTGCACTTCTGCCCCGAGAAAAGCCAAACAAACCACTCCAATAGACTGAGTTGCGATGTCATAGTAACAAGAAGCTAGTAGTAACAAGTGCCACGCTACTAGTAACAAGTGCCTTACTAGTAGTAACAAGGACGCTACTAGGAACAAGTGATGGTAGGGCGTTTCCCTTGTCATTCCGCGTTCCACGCCCTGCCACGCTCCTTTTTGATTCCTCGCTGTCCCAATCCACGGCCAGGCAAGAGGATGAGCCCCTGTAGCCTGGAGGATGTCTCTCAGCTATGAATCTGACATATCAAAATCCCCTTGGCTACTAGTAGTAGAAATGCCCCTAGGCCTACTAGTAGCTTCTTGTTTCTAGTAGTAATGCCAGGAGCTACTAGTAGCGTCCTTGCTCCTAGTAGCGATGCCCTTTGTTACTATTGCCCTCGAGTGTTTTGGAAGCTTTTTCCATGAGCTTCTTGCACACGAAGGATCCTTTGCGCCTGGAGCTGTGAGTTCTTCGACTTTAAAGGCCTTTGGCTCCTGGAGCAAAGCTCAAAGCAAAAAACACCACTTGTGTCGACATATATATCATATAAATACAAAAAGTAAAACAAACTCGAAGCAAAATCGAGATCAAATCAAAGCACGTGAAAGGTCGAGCGAGTCGAGCATCTTCACGCAGCCGCTTTCTCCAAAAGCAAAGGAACCAACCGCTTTCATAGTAACAAGAAGCTAGTAGTAACAAGTGCCACGCTACTAGTAACAAGTGCCTTACTAGTAGTAACAAGGACGCTACTAGGAACAAGTGCATCGCTACTAGTAACAAGTGCCTTACTAGTAGTAACAAGGACGCTACTAGGAACAAGTGCATCGCTTCTAGTAACCCCCGCTCCGGGTGGCGAACGAAGCCTCAGCTGTCAAAACGGCATGGATGAAGGCCTAGCATCGCCTGGCTGCCTTGCTTCGATGGCCTCCAACCTAATAGCGGGACTCTTAAAGGAAACTGATAAAAACCTAATAGCTTCCAACCTAAAAGCGATGGTGGAGGCCCTAAGATTACTATTCGTGTTGCTTCATTTCTACGCTTTCTACACCAGCTGAATGGACCATTTCCAGTCTTATGGGGGCTTGTCCTGCCGAGATCCCTCGCTGAGTTGAAAGCTGGTCAGAGTCGCACACGTACGATGCCCGCTAACGACAGCTGTCTCTGTCGCAAACAAACCAAGAAGCTCCACAGCTTGAGCCTGCTCGAGTCCTGGGAGCACAGAAAATCAGTTGCAATCAGCAAATCGCACTTGAAGCAACTGTGATCATCTGTGTATGAAACAGTTGAAAAGCTGCTTGCTTTCGGTCAACTCGTTAGAGACTCCTGTTCTGAAAAGGAAACAACATGTTGCTCGACTCTCCGCAGGCCTCGCCACTGAGCACTCGGCCCGAAGGCCAATGCAGTGACACTGAAAGGACCTGCGGCGAAGCGGCAGCCGAAGCTCGATGAAACTGGCACTGCACTGCTGCAAAGGCAACAAGTGCCATCTAGAACAGCCAGTGCGTTTGGATGCGCCTCGCAAGGTGTAGGTGTTATGGATCGTTAAGGTGTGCCCCTTCAAATGCAAAAGCGTCAATGTCACTGTCAAGGTCCAACGATTGCCTCTACCAATTTCTACCAGCACCCGAACTGTCCATCCCCTGCCTCACTCCTGTGGCCTTGAAATTCCAAGATTACTTGCCTGAAAGCGGCTGAAAGCGACAAGTGGAGATTCTTGTTGCTCTTTTCTTCAACACGACATGCACTACTTTCGACCCTGTTTCACATCTGCTACATATTCTCTCTTCTCCAGTTTGCTTTTCTCCTTCTCACGAAAACGCACACTTAAAAGCACTCTCCAAATCCAAATCGAAGTCCTTATGCACTTTTCGACTTCTGAGGAGTACTTCCTTTTCAGCGTCGTGGATTCGCTAGAAACAAGAAGCTACTAGGAACAAGTGCATCGCTACTAGTAACAAGTGCCTTACTAGTAGTAACAAGAAGCTATTAATTTAATTTAAGTTTAATTCTAATAGCTTTTTGTTACTACTAGTAAGGCACCTGTTACTACTAGCGTGGCACCTGTTACTACTAGCGTCGTGGATTCACGTCTGCACCTGGTGGCGATGCTCCAGAGCCGCAGCGTGCCGTCGCCGGCGCCGCTCACGAGGCGCTCCGCCTCCCAGGCCGCGGCCACGCACAGCACCGGCGCCTCACGGGGTGCAGGAAGAACACTTTGGAAAGAGCATTGCTACTAGCAAATAGTTGTATTATATAGCAGCTTCTTGTTACTAGCAAGAATGCTCCTAGTATCGATGCCAGAAGCCCCTAGTAGCTTCTTGATACTAGTAGCTAAAGTGAAGGCCAAGTAGAGAAGTCCATTAGAGTTTTTGAAACTGAAGATGGAGAGGTAGGTTGATCCGTGTGACGAGTGGTGTTGGTTATGCGAGTCCTTTGCAGTCCGGCGTTGTACCAGTGACCATGACTCACTTTCCGCTTGGTGCAAACGTGACAAAAAGTCCCAAAGGATTGGGGAACTGCAAACGCTGAGGAACGAAGAATGGAAGGGGGATAACGGGCCAACAACACCTTTTAACCTGCTTGCACCAAATGCTTTGTGACCCCAGTCGGCTCGTCTCAGCATGGGCTTCACAACGTTCAAAGGTCGTCCGAACATGAACAATTGAAGAAAGGACGTGAAAGGACAGAAGATCTAAAAAGGCACCGGACCACCGCATACTAGTAACAGGAGCATCGCCACTAGTGCTTCTTGCTACTAGGAACAAAGGGCATCGCTACGAGCCAGGACGCTACTAGGGGCTCCTGGCCTTACTACTAGTAACAAGAAGCTACTTAAATTAAGACTTGAATCCGATTGATTAGCTTCTAGGAACAAAGGAAGCCAAGAACAAAGGGGCGCTTCTTAGACCGTCGAAGCTGGCCTCACTTTGGGCGCGGAAGGGCAAGGAAGTTCCAGTTTCGATGCTCCACAGCCTAAGTGACGAAGTGACTGTCTAAACAAGAAGCTACTAGGGGCTCCTGGCCTTACTACTAGGAACAAATAGCCCCTAGTAGCGTCCGATCGCTCCCTAGTAGCGTCCTTGTTCCTAAGTGCCGATGTTCTCCTGTCTAAACTTCTTGCTACTAGTAGCTTCTTGTTACTAGTAGTAAGGCACTTGTTACTAGTAGCGATGCCCGTTGTTCCTAGTAGCTTCTTGCTCCTAGTAAGTGCCGATGTTCTCCTGTCTTGGTACTCAAAGTGAAAGAAGAAAAGCATCTGCTGATCAAGGTCGATCTTGCTTCGCTTCCGAAAGGAAAGCAAAACACTGTCAAGCATCAACCAAGCACAAAACACGTTTAATGACTGCCACAGATTTCTCCGGTTTTCTCCGTCCCTTTTGCCTTTTGTCAAGAAGCTGAAGGCCATTCCCTGCAACCACACAGCGTGGCCAGTTCACTGCCAAAGCGCAGGGTTTGATGCCTGCGAAGGAAGCTGCAATGACAAGAAAAAGGACATGCAATTTAGTTTGAAAAGGAACGAAAGAAAGACACATAAGACATTCTTGTTTCAGTTCCTCTTGTTTCCATTCGAACTCCACAGAGGTTGGTTGCTTTCGGCTCTGGACATCCGTCTCGCCTATCTTCAAATCTTTCACTTTGGAGACTGTGTTGTCCAGTGCCCTCAGCCAGGGCACGAAAAGAGGCATCATAATCAGGCCCAAAGAGATTGTAGAAAAGCACAACAAACCTTAAACGCTACTAGGAGCAAAGGGCATCGCTACTAGGGGCTCCTGGCATCGCTACTAGGAGCAAGGAAGAATGCTTTCCTGCTACTGGACGAACCGTGAGCCGATGTCGACTTGACTACTTTAAGGGTGACTAATAGGATCTAATAGGTTGTATAGGTTCTCTTTCTTATATTGCTTGGGGGGTAGGATGTATAGCAGGTCAAGTAGCTACTAGTATGGATGCAGGAAAGCTCTCGATATTTGGTTCCTAGACTTTGGACAAAACTAGTATAAATTTGTACAACAAGTGCCACGCTAGTAGTAACAGGTGCCTTACTGGTAGTAACAAGAAGCTAGTAGAAACAAGTGCATCGCTAGTAAAAACAAGAACCCCACACGGCAATGTGGGGAATAAATTTAGCTGTAGTAGACTAGGCATAGTATGCATGACGGGACGCAAAGTATGGGTTCTGCCTGAGGCGAGAAGCTCCCTTGAAGAACCGGTTCCTAGATTCTTAGAGAACATGAACATGTCTTTAGAGAACGAGATGAAAAAAGAAGGTAAAGGTTCCCTTTCATGTAGGAGCAAGGATGCTACTAGGAACAAGTGCCACGCTAGTAGTAACAGGTGCCTTACTACTAGTAACAAGAAGCTACTAGTAGCTCCTGGCCTTACTAGGAGCAAGGATGAGGGACCGCTACTTCCCTTTTTATCTCTTAAAGGTTCTGTCCTTGAGATTCGAAGGTTCACTAGCAGACTTGCACATATTGCTTGTGTAACAATGAGGGTATTCTTGCTTGCGAGGCATAAGCGCATAGCCGGAGCCTTTGAAAAAGGATGGTGAAGAGGGTAATGAAGAGGTTCTTGAGTGCTTCACCCTTCACCGTCCGTCGAACAGAGACCGGACGGTGTATCACTCGTGCCAGGCTGCCACAGGGTCATGCACTCTCCGCAGGTAATCGCTCTTCCAGATCTCCAATCCTCGTTTCGCAGAAACCACACATACCATCGGACTTGTGGCTCTTCGGAAAATTCAGAAAAAATCCTACCATCTCTGAGTTTCTCCTGCTTTCATCTTTCTGGAGATTCCTCCGAGTTTGTCTCTGCTACTACTGTTTTTTTTGCAAACAAAAACGACAGAACCAGTCTAGAAGTTTTAAAACAAACTGGTCCAGTCGGTCGAGTTCTTGAAATTCCCGAGTCACCACGGCTATGCAGCGTGCATCAGGAGCCTTATTGCGAGACGGAAGCAACAATGGCAATGTTTAGCAACTTCCACACAATAGGCCAGGCGGCCAGGCCAAACCTTTTTAGTTACAATCAAAATCGTGATTTGATGGTCTGACGGTTTCAAAGGGAGTGCACCCCGGATGCGGAGGTGGAACCGTGGAAGCGCAAAATGACGAAGCTTTGAGACTTCACTCGGCAAAATGGTGCTCACGGACGCAAAGAGTGAGAACGTTGTTCTCTTTGACTCAAAGGTCTTTCTTCTCCTAGTAGTAACAGGTGCCTTACTAGTAGTAACAAGAAGCTACTAGTAACAAGTGCATCGCTTCTAGTAACAGGTGCCTTACTAGTAGTAACAAGAACTTAAAGCGTGGCGTTTGTTGTGGAGCCAACTAGCCTCGCTGATGACTAGCCAACCCCTCCATTCGCATCAAGACCCCAGGGGCGAAGTACTTCACGACGTTCAGCGGCATGAAGTTCTTCAAATCCCACAAGTGAAGTTCCAACGAAGCAGAAAGCACCTCAGACGCACAAGGAGTCACAAGGACAAGAGGAACGTGTCCAGATTTTGAATTAACTTCTCCTCGCGGCAAACAGGAACCTCCTGAAGAAAAAAGGAAGAAAGGAAGATCTAGAGCTCTAAAGAAAGAAGACAATAGATTTGTTCATTGCAACTGCTTCTCATCAGCTTTTCAACTATTCCGCAAAGGTTGCGACACCGGTTCCGGCCTTCATGGCACTCCAGTCGACGGCCAGGCCCCAAACACCTTGTTGTTCGTAGCGATCCACTTCTTGATCGCGACCAAGGTCCCACAGTACCAGCTGGCAGCCTGGAGTGGAGTCCATGACGAAAGACTTGAACGAAAAATCCCTAGCTCAGATTGCCTTCTGGCAAAACAAGGGAAGAATTACCTAAGGACAAGAAAGGAGGTCTAAAAGAAGAACATCAAAAGTATCAAAAGCCACACAGAAAGAGTTCTTGTTGCTCCAAGACGTGATTCTTTGCCTCAAGAGCTTCGGGTGTCCTTTCTCTTGTAAAGAGTCTTGTTTCTTTTTGCCCGCATCGCAAGATCAACCAAAAGAGCGGGTGCTCCTCGAGCATCTTAAAGAAGAAAAATTGAAGGATAGGCGAAAAGAAACAAAGAAAAGAAAGGAAAGGACAAAAGAACACAGAGAAAAGGAGCAAAAGCGAACAGAGCGAAAAAGAGTTGAAGGTTTTCAAGAGAAACATAATGAACAAACAAAACAATCAAGGACCATTCCTAGCACTCTTTCTTGCAAGTATATGCTATATCCTGTGTAGTTTCTAAGCGTTTTAAGCAAAGTGACAGAAACGAAGCCAAGGGACTTTGGCCGGCGAGGCAGCGCAATTGACCCCAGGAGACATCCAGGCACTGCACGGGTTCCAGGCCTCGAACAAGATCTTACAGCGTTTTTTGGAAAAAGGGAGTAGCAAGGACGCTACTAGGGGCTCCTGGCCTTGCTACTAGGAACAATGTTTGCTATTAGAAACCGGAAATAAATAGAAATAAAATTCAATTACAACTAATTAGAATTTAATTATAATTCAAACTAAGAGCTACTAGGACCTTTTCACGCGCGCGCGCGCAGGGGGGGGGGGTAGGAGCCAGGACGCTACTAGGGGCTCCTGGCCTTACTACTAGGAGCAAGAGGCTACTAAGAGGAACAAAGGGCATCCTAGAAAAGGGAGTAGCGCGCGAAGTAGTAACTCATAAAATTCATTGGACCATGCGTTTCTTTTGATACTTAAGTCTAAGACCTAAAAGATGACCAAGACCAGACCAAGCCTGTCAAGACCGTCACGGATTCCTTCCAGCCTTTGCCCAAGGCGGTGGAGAAGTCACGGCTTTCCAAGTCCCAAAGAAGAAATCCAGCACTCGACCTGTCTTTCCCAAAGAATGGTCTGAACGGTGGTCGAAGAATTCGCCAATAAACGAAGAGGCTTTCAGCATCGCTAGTAGGTTGGAGGCCATCGCTAGTAGGTTTTCCATTCTCCCTTTGCTACTAGGAGCAAAGGGCATCACTACTAGGCTACTAGGGGCTCCTGGCCTTACTACTAGGAGCAAGAAGCTATTAGGTTGGAGGGACTTTCGGCTATGTGTTTTCCATTCTACTGTTCCTTCTCCTGAAACGGCTTTGGATCCTCAGGTCGAAGCCCTGCCGTCAAGGCTTGTTGGCGCCGTCCTCGTCGTGCGTCTGACTCTTTGACAAGTCTCACGTTGCTTCTTGTTACTACCGATGCACTTGTTACTACTAGTAAGGCACTTGTTGCTAGAAGCGAGGCACTTGTTACTAGTAGCTTCTTGTTTCTAGTAGCGATGCCCTTTGCTCCTAGTAGCGTCCTTGTTCCTAGTAGTAAGGCACTTGTTACTAATAGCTTCTTGTTACTACTAGTAAGGCACTTGTTACTAGTGGCGATGCACTTGTTCCTAATAGCTTCTTGTTACTACTAGTAAGGCACTTGTTACTAGTAGCGATGCACTTGTTCCTAGTAGCTTCTTGCTCCTAGTAGCGATGCCCTTTGCTCCTAGTAGCGTGCTTTACAAGCAAATCTGTGTGCAAACCCAAACATTGATTCCAACCGTGTATGTTTGATTCCAACCGTGCAGAGTAGTGTGGTTGAGAACGTGAAAAGAACGCTGGCCATGCTTCATGCGCTCAGAAACTGCTTTAGTACCTTTGGTGTTCTCTCTCCCTCTCTCTCTCTCTCTGCTCATGCCGCTGAATCCGAGAGTCTTCGAAGAACGGTGATCACCAGCCGCTCTGTTTCGCCGAACTCGGTGATGGAAGACTCGGTGTCCTCCAAGACCTCCAAGCAGCCGTGTTTTGCAGAACGCTTTTTGCGGCCTAGCTCACTAGCTACTTAAGTTAAGAGCGATGGCCTCCAACCTACTATATAGCGATTTCTGCACCAATTTCGGCAGACCAACGGCAGGCAAGGCACAGTTGAACCCAAGATGAGACGCTGATTCCTCAGACTTGTCAATTGCTGCGTTACGCCAACAAGTGAACTCCGCGATCCCTCATTCAAGTATTTTATATTCTCGTCATAAGTATCTGTTTGGAGCGTTTTGGTGTGCTTAACCTTCCACATTCCAAGGAGGTTTCTTCATTTAATGAAATTGCCGTCTTTTCCTTTGACCTCCCCACGTGACTGTGACCTTCCTGCCACTGCAATCAACTGCAATTCGTCATGCTCGGGCCGAGATGCTCGGTTGGAAGTCCCAACTCTTGGGCCACACGATGATGTAACCCCGACACCTAGGGCGTGAAGAGGAGCGATCGGACGCTACGAACGGGGCTCCCGGCCATACTACTAGGAGCAATGTTAGGAACAAGGACCCTAGGGGCATTCCTAACACGACATCTGACGGACATACTTTCTTACGTGTCATCCCATCTGACGCGCAGCGCTGGAACGTTTCAAACATGTTCGTGTATCATGAAGCTATTGCAAGGCATCTACACATAGTTGAAGAGAAAAGGTCCTGCAAACAATAGTCATTTGAGTCATTTGTTCATGTGCTGCACAATGCAATCTGGACCAGCAAAAAGGCAGCTATTCGAAGAGTTTTAGTTTAGGATTTGGATAGTTATAACTTATAACCCCCCTTGCAAAGAGTAACCAATACCGATACTACCCCTTGCATGTTCAACAACAAACCCTTTTAGAAGGCTTCTTTCTACAACTTTGTGGCACTTTACTACACTTTTGCTGAGTGCGAAGAAGCGCTTCCTAAAGCTGAACTTCCTAAAGCTCACCTGTTGCCGAGGCCACTGAAGTGGTGAGAAGTGGTGAGATGAAAACACATCCTGTCTGACAGGTGAGTCTGTCTCACAAAAGGTTTACAATAAAACATGAAAAGGTTTCCGTTTTATTCAAAGAAAAACACCCCGAAACACCGGTCGTTCTAGTAAAGAAAGACTTCTTTTTTGGCCTTTCCTTTTTGTCCTTCCACTTCGCCCCAAGGTGCGACACTTCGCCGACTCCCGCCTTCATGGAGGCTGGGACGGTGAACTCGGCTGCGATGGATCCCAAGGTCACGAGCTGCACCTCGCGACCGAGGTGCAAAGCAGGTTCGTTCGGAGAAGGTCGGAGGTCGGAAGTTAGATTTTTTTTTGAAACATGAAGATGTTCTGAAGATGTTTTTTTGTTGGTGCCGATTATCTGCAAAACAAAACAACCAATGGCACCACAGATCTGAAAACACCACCAATTCACTGCCTTTTGAGTTGGCAAGATGTGGTTTTCATCGGAAGGCCTGAAGTTGTGTCTCAAGAGCAGCAACTTGTTCTTCATGCGCATTGAGTGGAGGCAGTGGCTTTGGGCCTGGCTGGGGCTGCCGTGCTGGCCACGCACCGAAGTTTCTGTGAGTTGACACAAGCTCCATAGTAATGCAAGATAAGCAAACCAGTAGCGTCCTTGCTCCTAGTAGTAAGGCCAGGAGCCCCTAGTAGCGCCCTTCTCCTAGTAGCAAACAAGATAGTAATGCAATATAAGTGTGCTTTCTCACACGGTTCTTTTCTCCCTCTTTCCATCTCTTTCCTGCACTTTCCCTTGACTTCCTCTCGGTCCTCTCGTGTACTTCGTATATATATATATGTATACTTCTCTCTTGGCAGTTTTGAGGTACCTCGAAGTGCTTGAAGCCACTCGAAGCATGGGAAGAGAGCCTAAAAGCAGAAGCAGCATGGTGAAGGATGATCTTTGCTGCTAGAGGTGCCCAAGCGAATGCGAAGCATTCACTTTGTCGGACAAGATCAGGACAGTTTTCCGTTTCTCACTAAAAAGAGAATTCAACGCGACTGTAGCAAGATTCGATCTCAGTGAAACCACATACTTTGTTGAAACAAAAGAGAACTCAACACGACTCAGTGCAAAGAAAAAAAAAACACACAGAAGGAAGAACGAAATGGACAAACAAAACTCATGGTCTGCATCTTGCGGCTACCCTCCTTCATCTCGTCTTCGAGCTCTTGGAGCTCGTCATGTGGCTTCCTTCGGCCGGCTCCTTTCTTTTCAGATCGGATGTGCTGCAGTGTTTCACATTTGGGGGATAGGCCACGAGGAGGCTTACAAGTAAGCGAAGTATGCTTAAGTTGTAGCTACTAAGCATAAGAAGCTACTTGTAGCTGGGACGCAGGAAAGCTCAGGCTTCTTCCCCTCGCATAAAGGCGGGGGGGCAGCTTCCCTGAAGAAGCCCTCGCACTATCCATTTGCTTATTTGATTTTTGGGAAGCTTAACTTATTATGTAATTAGTTCTATGATTACTTTTAATTCTCACTGGACAACTCTGGGTGCAGAATTTCACGGGCCAAGTCAAAGGGCCCAGCTCATGATGTGGGGAAACAAATGGGACCATATCAACTGGACATGTAAAACATGCTTGTCGGCACAACATTTGGAAGGCAGTGTTGAGGTCGCGTTAAGCTTGTATAGTTGATGTAAAGGGCTTCGATTCGTCTGCTTCGCAGTCTTTGATCCTGATGGCACTCCAGGAAGGCTACCTTCAGATGCCTTGAGCCATCAAGGTCCTCCGGCCGCTCAACATGTTCCACCCTACAGAAAGTCAAGAAGAGGCTTAACAAGAGATAGTCTAGAGTCTAGGAGCAAGGACGCTACTAGGGGCTCCTAGCATCGCTACTAGGAGCAAGAACGCTACTAGATCGAGGCTTCACAGCTTGAGCAAACCAGTAGCGTCCTTGCTCCTAGTAGCGATGCCCTTTGTTCCTAGTGG